TGCACGTTCCTGGCACGGCATTTCATCTCTTGGGTGATTTTGCAGGGCAAGGAAAGCTACAGCCCAAACACTTGCATTTTGAGTGTGAGGTTGGAAAAGTTCTAACAGAAACTGAAATGTCATCTTTACGTTCCAATAAGCATTAAAAATTAATACCAAAAATATCACAAGCTTCTCTGCACCAAAAAAAAAAGCAAAACTAACTTTAGCCAACTTCTACCATACTAGTCCAGTGTGCACTGCATATAAAATATCATGCACAGCTTGGCAGATGATCCTCACAGCATGTGCTAGATCTAACAAACTGTAATTGGATGTAGATATGAAAGGGTACATGGACATCATGAGTGACCAGGGTTAAAGCTGTTACAGAGGTTACAGAATGCCAGCAATAGAATGAGCATTACTATGTGTGTGTGTGTGTGTGTGTGTGTGTGTATATATATATATATAAAAAATAGAAATGTATCAGTAAAGCCCCTGTACAGCTGCTTCATCTGCAAACCTTTACCAAGCAGTAAAATGCTGGATAAAGAGTGAGAAAAATTAGAATGTTTAAAAAAATTAAGATGTCCCTGGGATGTCCAGCATACTTTAACTAATGGAAGACATTGGGCTGCTTACTAATAGGTAGAAACAAATAGGTACAATTTTCATTTCTTACTAAGATTTTGCTTTTGACGAATAACTACATAAAGCTTAAGGGTTATTACACACAAATGGATTCTCTTCCTAAGACTGGGAGATGCCACAGAAATTGTAATTATTATTATTAAATTCACTGCATAGAGCAAAGGACGTAACAAGATAAACACAGGATCTTGAAAGTTTTATTGAAGTTCATCCCCAACACTAAATCAAGAGGTTGAGTTTCTGGCCTTGCCTGAGTGATTCTTGCCACTTTTTAAATCACAGCACCCTATATAGTTTCTCTTAACACTTGTAAACTGTTAGCTGTTCTTGAATGAAATTTTGACATATCTTTCTCAGATAAATGTTAAATTCACATTCATGTGTTTGCCATTAAAACGTGTCAGACATTGGTCTCATTATAAGACAAAGAGCAAATTTTCTAGAAAGTTGTAGGAACATTATCTTATGCAAGATAACACGTTAATAAGATATATATATTTCTCTAAAGGTTTGTCAAAAAGAAGCCAGTGCTGCTTTCTTCTCATGGTAAACGTGACCCAAACCATTTCATTTTAGCTTTATAAGCTTCTAAACAAAAGTCTTCATACTGGATCACATTTCTAAGTGTTGTCCTCCCTGGGTGATCCTGCTCTGGCAGAGGGGTTGGACTAGATGATCTCTAGAGGTCCCTTCCAACCCCCAACATTGTGTGATTCTATGATTTGTGTTTTTAACTGGCTCATATGCAGAAAGAA